ACGCTGACTGGAAAACTACCAGAGAATATGCTTCCTTCAAGTAAGTGTTTTTCCACTAGCCTTATGCTTGAGTAAGAATTCTAATCCTAGAAACAATATCACATTTCCCTGAGGAAACCTTTTAATTGCTTTGGGAAAAAAAATACAACTAATTGAAGACAGATTTATAGAGCTATCTGGTAAGACTGGGACCAAATCCAAGGCTCCCTGATCCCTCTACTGCATTAACAGTTTTCCTATAGAGAAGCCTTAGAGAATTTGTTTCCAATCCAATGCTACCAATAGACATGCAGTATTTTTTTGCACAATCACTCAGAAAAATTATCACACATCAGGTTGTTTCTAACACAGGTGGTACGGTATCAACTTTATACTTCTGTAATCTTCTCTATTTTTCTTCTTCCTGAAGCCACATTTTACACCACTATTTAATAAATAAATAAATAAATAAATAAATAAAGTAACTAACAAGAAAAAAAAACACAACATAGTTCTGAAAGAAGCACATCAGCCTGGTGTCCCTTGGCAAACAGCCACCTCTGAAACTGTCATTTGTTGTAACCATAAGTTTACAACATTTAAAAATGAACTTGGATGCTTTCTGAAAAGCACATTAGCAAGGAAAAAATGTAACCCAGAAAAAGTCACCAATAACTTAAACATTTCAGGAGGCTCATTAAATAAAATCTAACTTCACAGTGATGTAAGTAGCAGAGATCCTTATAATGAATGGACAGAATACACTGCAGTAGATCAGGAATTATAAAACTAAATTAGAAACCCAAATCTCCTTTGCTATAACAACAAACATCTCTTTGTTCTTGAAAAGGAAGTTGCTAAGATAATGCAATTAATCACCCTTCTGCAGTCAATTTCTGATGCATAATCCTTTCTATATTTCTATTACCTAGTTTCACACGCACCACACATTTCAGCATTTCGGGAAAAAGTGTCTGTCATTAACATCTCATCTCACAGCTTTATGAAGTTACAATCCATCAAAACTACCCTTCTTCCATATAGTGGACATCTAGGTAAGAGCTATGACACATTTCAAGAAAGGCTAGTGAATGTGTTAACTTCTTTCTCTTAAATGAATACATTCCAAGATTCAAAGTTGTATGCCAGTGATGACCCTACCCAAACGGGATGAGAACGAATGCTCTGTGGCTTGCTAAAGCCCTGAGCATTACACACACACACAGCCTCTCCGCCCATCATTTTACTTTTTTGTGTGCCATAGTGGGTCTGGCTGAGATAGCCCTAACCTTTTTTGTACCAGCTCTTAAATGTTAAGATCTGCATCAAAACTACTGCTGACAACACACTGATGCTTTAGCTATTGCTGAACAGTGTTGTGTAGCATCAAGGCCTTCTCCGTTTCTTACTCTGTGCTCTCCTCCTTAGAGAACAGTAGTTGGGAGGGGGAACAATCAGGTAGATGACCCAAACTAACCAAAGAGATACTCCATGTCATGTATTGTCATTCTCAGTAATAAAATGGAGAGGAAGGAGTGCCTCCTTTGTCACTTCAATAAGTGATGCTCTCTGAACAGAAAAACTTGAATTTCAGATAAAATAGTAATGTAAGCCTTTCAGCAGCCCAGTCTGTAATGAAGAGATGAAAGTTAATTTACTGTAGTGTCAATACGGTTAGTGAAACTGTATGACAGTGCTAGTGATAAATGATATCTGCTGTTGCAGCTCTTTTTCCAAAGTATTGGCAATATTTATTGTGAAATACAAACGCTTTTGCACTAAACATCAAAGTCAACAGAACAAAATCTGGGTCTGAGGTATTTTGTATAAACAAGCCCCATTTTTCTCTAGGCAGCACCTCTCTCTCACCTTTATGAACTGCTAAAACCTTGAGAATTGACTTTTTCTTCTCCTTCATAGAGCATCTAGAGTTTGCCTGTGATGCAAAGAGAAAGGTATCCTGGTTGGCATAATTTTCATTGTTCAAGTTCGATTTTTTTCAAGCTGAGATTTTCCACTGAGCCTTCAAGCCTTCCAACTGAAAAGATGATCAGGAACAGTCACAAGTGGTTCTTATGCTCTAAGTACTGTTCTTTCTCAATTTCTCATCTATCAGACGATATATATCTCACATATAAGGAGAAGGAGAATGTCTGTGACTGTAATATAGTTAACAAGAACTTAATTGAGAAGCATTTTTGCACCTCACATTAGGTGTGACTCTTAGCTATGTGATATGTTCATGGGTGACAGGAAAATTATGCCTTACATCTGTAGAGATGGGTAAATGCCTCATTAAATTTAATGATTACCTGTTAGAAGGGCAGTTCCACAAGAAAATCTCTGACACTGAAAAAGACAAGGGACATAATGAAACAACATTGCAATTGTATCATCACTGACCTTGTGAATTAATTCACCTGTCCAGAAATATTTTTATAAACATATTAATAATGAACTTTATATTGCAAAAAAAATGCATGAATGGGTTACAACATGAAAAGGTTATCAAGTAGGCCATGAAATTAGACACAGACTGTATGTTCAGATTTGAGCTCAATTCAACCCAAATTTGTATGTTAATTTACATATAACGGAGGGAAAAAGCAGAAGGTGGAAGAGAAAGGAAATTGCTATGAAACATTACATATAAAAGGAAACATTTAGGAACAACTTGTTTTCAGTTAAAAAACTACAAGTATGACCTCTGACAGACAAAAATCTGATTCCACAATGTTCTCTACAGCTAAAAAAAACCAAACCCACACCCCCTTCCAGGATGTGACAGAATTCCAATTATCCCAACAATAAAACACACTCAAGGAAAGCTATGCTATCCCATTTAGACTGACAGCTCAGTGTTACAGCTAAACAAGGAATATATACATCTGGGAAACCAGAACAGAACATTATCAACTTCTGCTCACAATGACAAGAGGGATAGACAAAAGAAGAACAACCTTCATGCTAGCCAATGACACATTTTGACACATACCATTAAACAAAAAATTAACTAGTTTATTATATGTAACATATTTACAAAATAGTACAAATTAAAGTACTGTAACTCCATTATTGCATGACAACAAAAGCTCTATACAGGCAAAAGCAGCACATGAAAGAGACACTCCAGAATATTTAGGAAGTCTTTGGTACTCTAAATATAGTTTAAGATGCAGCATTAACTCAATCAATACAGGGCATTAAACACAGACAATGATATGTAAATTTATGCCACAAAATAAAGTTTATCTATGGCTTTCATTCTTCCCAAAGGCTCATTACTGGATTCAGGAATTGCTTAAAAGCTTAACAGCAACGTTAGGGTGGAGAGACTACTCAAAATTATTCTAAAACCAAACTGTTGAAAAAAATAATGTATTTCTCAACTCAAATTAAACTGCCTCTTCTCAGAACTGTATGACAGCAAAGCACTGAACACTTCACAGGCCTATTTCTCTACCCTTGAGCAGGCAAAACTGTGAAAGAACCAATTTTGTCTACTTAAGGAACACAGCATCAAGCTCACAATAGACAATAAAACCACGTGGCAAAACATGATCAAAGACTGTATACCCTAGTCCACACAGCTGTACACATCATTTACAAAATGTTTTATGCATAATCTACATATTTACAAATGTTCTCAATTGTTCCATTAAGTAATGTACTCAACATAATCACAGTTTACGTAATTTTGAGGTAAATTCTTGAGCATCAGCAGAGTTTCCCTGCAAGGCCAAGTCTCAAAAGCAGGGGATTTCTAATTAGAAGATCCTTTCACCTGGTCGCACAGCAGTGTATGCTAGGTGTAGCAGATGGGTAAAATGGTTGCAGAGATGAAGAGGATTATTGTCAGTCCTCTGAGCTGTGCTTAGTTCTTCCTGATGGCTAGAAGGAGGGGATGAAAAAAGAAAAAAAAAAGAAAAAAAAAACAACAAACCAGCAGGGACAGTCAAAAAGAATATGAAATATGTACTAGCAGATTCTGCATCTGGACAAACAGTGCATAATATGATGAATATTCAGTAGGAAAAACTGTGCTGTTAAATCATGCAGTGTCTTCACATACTCGTTGCAAGATGACTATGTGAAAAGAGGACAGGAAAAAGCAAAAGAGAGGATAGGGGACAGGATGAATTAACTTTCTTGACTGGTCAACAGTAACCTAGAAAGAAGATGCATTTAAGAGCTTTCTTTTCTTAGAAGTTTTCAAGCCAGGTTAGACATAATCTATCTATAGGAAACTGCACATCTGAAGACATCACTCACTTTTATTTTAAGCTTTTAACTACAGCACTTCTGACCCTCCATACATTTATTAAAACACAGCCTCGCCCAGGGGTGGACACCACTTTACAAGGCCTGATGTCTCAAGCTAGCTAACCTAAAGATACATTACCTTGGGAATGTTTGTAATGCTGCAGTAAGATCACTCACTCATGGAGCTGCCATTAACATCCCAAGGAACAAGAGAGGAAAGGGCACAAGAAAATCTAAAAGTTCCCTTTGCATTACCTCGTAAGGGTACAAAAGGTGATAGAAACTCCTGTCTTAACAAAGAAAAGACAGCTTAGAATTGGAAGCATCAAAGTTCATCAGAACGAACCATGAGGTTAAGATAGACAGTTCTGTTCTTGAGAAGTGACATCATCTTGCATTAGCATATTCTCCTATATTTATTTTCTGTTATTGCTGAATATTTTAAAACTCATCCTGTCATGACTATCCTCTGTTGCACTTCCATGGTCAGCTACTTCAATGAAAAAAAACACACACACACACACCAGAAAAAAAAAAGACTTGCGCTGACAAAGGATCCCACAATTCCACTTAGGGAATTATTTTTCAAGCAACACCACATCACTGCAACATTTTAAAATTTTGTCTTTAAACAAATTTTTAGAAGACTTAGGCAGGACCTAAAAGTAGTTAGTTAACTAATTATACATGTATCAATGCTACTCATGTTTACTACATTCATTTTTCTTTCAGAATGTTTTTGTGAGTAAAACTTTGTAAGGTGATAAATAAATTAGTTTGATGTTTCAAGACAAGTCTACTGACTACACTTTATGCCCACTGGAATGACTGAAATCTGTTTGCTGCATGCAGTGATAAGAAATAATAAGCCTTCATCTCCTTTTACCATCCCAGATGTTAGCAAGAAGAAACAGACTTATTAAATTTTCAGCCATAGCTCGTATTCATGGTGTAATACAGGGTGAAATTAAAAGGAGCATAAAGAAATGTTTTCCAGACATCATCTGGGAAGGTGAGGGTTGGACTTTGTACTGGTCCCCAGTGATGGTATGCTGGCAGGTCATTTCTTGCACAGCTCTGGGCAAGGTAATAAACTGTCAGAACAAACTTCTGTGTAAATCCCAACATAAAGAGTGGAAGGTTCAGAGAAGACAAAAATGCTGCTGTTTAAACACTTAACAAGACCAATAACACTTGGAAGACATTAAATTTTTAAATCCCTGAAACTGATGGTCAGCAGAGGAAAGTTTTTAATTCATTCATCCTCTTCAACATAAGTTGATGGAAACCAGCCCACCTAAAAAGAGAAAAAGCAGAATAAAATAGTATATGAAATGCACAGGGTTTGTTTTTTTTTAAATGGTTGCACTAGGCAAAACAAGGATGAGTCTGTTTAGTAAATATAAGATGACAAATATAAACTTGACTGGTAATATCCTTAATGAAAAAATTATTTGCAGGTATGATAATTTGGAGACTAAATCCCACTGACCTCCCAAAAAATACCTTTTGCCCAAATTGGAAGTCTAAGCATTCAGGAAAATGTCAAGAAATACCAAAGGCAGAAGTAATTTTACTACAGGCAGGATGCTGCTATTTTTTGAATGAGCAGTTAAATACTTAACAGACTCCAGTCATGTCAAGGGAAGCTTCTTACCAAGGAAATAGTGACTGATTTGATTGCATTACATGGAGTTAAATTCTGTTGCCACCAACAGGAGTTTTAATAAGAAAGAACTGGAAGGCAGTCCCCACTGTTGCACACTTCATAAATTATAACATTATCTCAATTCTGAAATTAATGATGTGTCAAATAAGGATTATGTAAGACGTACAGGGAAGCGATGTCATATATTTTGTATTGCTTTATCTATTAGTTTTAGGTTTTTCACTCAGACTTCTTTATATCTAAGTGAATTTAACATTAATGGAAGACCTCAAAACCAAGTCTAGAGCATGGCAGGAAGGAGTAACTGTGTAAATTTTGGGTTAGATTACCTTGACAAAATGTGTCCAGAAGTGAGCTTATGATCTTAAGTACAGGTTGTGAAAGCTATCAGAAAGAATGCTAGTGAATAACAGGAAATCCTTTAGGATGTGGGTGGCTGCATTAGAATGAGATGCTCAATCTTCTTCACATATAAAATGTATATAAGATGACAGGTATTTCTTCTGCTTCCCTATTTCTTCTTGTTTCTTGGCCATTTTACTTTGAGATCATAACCAGGCTCATGTACATTAAAAAATCTCCCAAAATTGCATAAAGCAGTAAATCTGGACATCTACTTCAACCAGACTCGAAACTTTAATTTCCAGCTTCTACTTTGCATTCCTTGACCCTTCATTAAAAAACAGTGTACTAACACTGCAACATTATAGCTTTTATAGGTGAAAACTGAAACTGTACTTCCATGCGAGTCCCAGTGACTTGGTAAAAATCCCTGCTAGATATGACACTTCATATGAGCCACATTTTTAGAGATCAAAGAAGCATCCTCCTATAAAAAAGGCAGCTGATTCCATTGCATTATAGTCTGCCAGAAAGCTGTGAAAATCATTCTGTGTTAAACTGCTAAAGACACTTTCACAGCATCAGGAACCTGAGCTTTTGACACCAAATATATGTGTGCAACACAGTTCAAGAAAGTTCAGCTGTTATTACTCCTGGTTATTTTCCAACTGTATAATTTTGCCCAGATATCCAGTGTGGTAGCTTACATTAAATAACCGATTAATTTAGGTGGTGGGAAAGCAGCCTGGCAGGAGTTCTGCCTGGCTCCTATGAAACAGAGATGAACATGCTGTATCTTGTGAATTTAAATACAAAAAGAAAGTTCATGACTTAAGAACACACTTTTTTTTTTCTTAACAAATTTACTGCCACTGAAGACATAAATGAGATAAAGAAGAAAAAAAAAACAACCACCTTACCCTTCCATTTACTTCACCTCTCCACCAGCCATTTGCACTCATCTTTGTATAAATTTTCACAACATCACCTTTCAACAAGGACAGTTCCCTCATGTCTCTTGCACAGAAGTCATACCTGGCTATGGCAATGCCTATCACCTTTGGACTTAGCACTGAAACAAAACAGATGTTGATATTATTAGGGTTTGTTAACTGAAGATTACTAAAGGAAATAACAGTACTGTAAAATATAAAATAATGATTGCACAGCATACACTATCATTAATTTTATGCAAATATGAAAGCATCTAAACTACACAGATCTAGAAGATCTAAACATAAATGGTATAAAAGTTGAAAGGATTATGTGATTTTAATAGATTTTTATTTTTAGAAAATAAGTCAAGCTAGATGAACCATAAAAAAAAAAATCCCCCACTCTAAAACTGCTAAATACATTTGCATTTATTGTATTTTTGTGCTTCATAATAAAACTTGCTGCAAGTTACATGCATCAACATATTTTACAGGTCACTAGTTTCTCTCCAAAAGGATTATTAGCATTTACAGTTGATTTAACTTTAAACCTTTAATGAAGCAAAACAAATAGAGTAAGGTGCAGTTCCTTCAAAAACAACTCCCAAGTTAAATATTAATACACTTAAAATTGGAATCTAACATCAGCATGAGCAAACTAGTAAAGAGTTTCCACAGAAAATTTGTATGGATCATTTGTTACGATCAGCATGAACGCTGGCTGATCTAAATGTCCTCTTTTCAGGAGTATATTCAGTAAATCATCAATTAATTTGTTCTACTGAACTTATGAAGAAAAAATTCCTTACAAACATAGTCCTAAGTTTCAGTAAAATTAAGACTCTAAAATGTTAAGCTACATCAGCAACTAAGCGTTGTGCCAACATAAAGTCCTGACATTTTAAGAAATAAAAAGTTGTGAAATGTTCTTTAAAAGCCAATGTGAAAAAAAAAATAAATAATTTTACAGGAAATTATGTTTTTAACCCTCGTGTAGAATGTCCAAACTTCCAAAAGAAACTTTCGACTCTTTCAATAAGAGGAAAATGAACATAGCATCTAAGAGATAAAGGCTTCCAGATTTGAGCCATTTAGAAAAAAACATTTACTACTCTACTGCATTTTGTAGTTGGACTACTTGGCCAAAGCATTCTTTTTCTATATTTTTTTATTCCATTAACAACACCTTCTTTTACAGTTCTTTTCCTCTGTACGTCACTGTAGATAAGAACAGGAGCTTAAGAGCATAAGCAAGCTTCCTACTGAAAAGATTCCAGAAATATTCTTCATGTGATCATGATAAATGACTTGATATAACTTACATATAATAATCTTTTTTCCCAGAACCCTTTCCAGGTTTTTTAAAATTACCAACTGATTTTAGGAAATACTATTAAGATTCCAGTTTAACAATGCCTTCAACAATGTAATAGTTTTTAAAAGTTCACAGCTAGTTGCCTTAAATTCAAACCAGGAACACAAAACATGGCAAATGAGCTAGAAAATCTTGACAATTTTAGCTCTGCTTATATTGAAGATTTTTTCTGACCCCATGGGAGACAATTTATAGAAACAAAAGCCTTTGCATAACATTATGAATTATGTGAAAATCATTATATATTCGAATCGTTTTAGCTTACAGAGCCAATATAAATATTTTAATTTTAAAATAACAATACTATGTTTTAACTATTATTAGATTTACCACAAAAACGGAAGGCCTAAAAATCAAATTTGGGAGAAGATCGTGCCCTCTTTTATACCATGTCATTAAAGTTTAGTCCAACATTTCAGACTGCTTAAGTACAGTACCCTTATCTGATATTTGATACAGGATGCCATATAAAAGAGAATCATCATTCCATTTATTGCTTATATTCACAGAAATACGTAAAAATCTAGGCAATATCAAATAATAACAAATAAAAGTATGTTAAAGTTCAAGCATATTTTTTCCCACTTATGTCAGATGTAGACACTGCATTTTTTGATCCTGACATGAATGCTACGTCCTGTATCCTATCAGGA